TTCCGCGCGTGCGGAGCGAAGCCTGTGAAAGCGGCCGGGGCGGGGACTCCGGGCTGGGTCGTCCTTGACACGCACTTCTGCCTGCGCCGATGAGCTCACCGGGCGATTCTGCCTGGCCCCTTGGCATCCCGGCAGCGGGCGCGGGGGGCGTGGGGGGGTGCGAACCCGACTAGATGGCATCGAAAGCTCGGCTCCTTGTGATTTGAGTTACTTCCCAAGGCTAAATCCTCCCTCCCTCTTTCTTTCTTTCTTTCTTTCTTTCTTTCTTTCTTTCTTTCTTTCTTCCTTCCTTCCTTCCTTCCTTCCTTCCTTCCTTCCTTCCTTCCTTCCTTCCTTCCTTCTCTCTTTCTCTCTCCCCCCTCCCCTCCCCTCCCCTCCCTATTTTTCCCTTTGTCTTCCTCCCTCCCTTCCTCTCCTTCCCTCTCTCCCAATCACTCCTCCTTCCTTCCTTCCTCCCTCCCTCTCTCCCTCCCTCCCTCTTCCTTCCTTCCCTCCTTCCCTCCCAATCACTCCTCCTTCCTTCCTTCCTCCCTCCCTCTCTCCCTCCCTCCCTTCCTTTTTAGAGCAACCAGAAGATGTGATGAAGTACAACCAAAAATAAAACAATGCTAATCTTAGCTTATTATGGCTGCTTCCCCCCTTGCTTTAGCAAGACAGCCCCCTCCCCAACTAAAAAGTCATGCAGAGGGTCTGCAGAGGATAAGTCTCAAACTAGATTAACCCAATATGCCAATTCACACCCTTGTTTAAATGCTTCTGGCTCAGCAGGGTGAGCAAGCCAGCCATAGTGGTCTGTTAGCCAGAGTTTATCCCGTAAAGCAGTGTTTCTCAACCTTGGCAACTTGAAGACGTGTGGACTTCACACATCTTCAAGTTGCCAAAGTTGAGAAACACTGCTGTAAAGTATTATGCCAAGCCCCCCAAGTGTGGTTTGTTCAATAAACTGTTGTTAAACCATAGCTTACCATGATGCATGGAGAAGGGCCAAGGATAGGGATGAAAACTTAATGCTAACCCCCTCCGTCTCCCTACACCTGGTCCCCAAATCAACAGCTCTTTCCAAAATGTTTTAGGCTGGGACTAAATGGGACTCCATTCTGTTAGCTGGCCTATTAAAATAAGAGTGATATCATCATCGTCATCATCACCATCATTTTCATCCTCCTCTTCTTCTTCTTCATCATCATCACAACAATAACTGGGTCTTTCCCAGCCCTAGGTAAGGATGCAAAAAATGGACACTTCTGGTTAGCCGCCATTTTCTAACAATCAGAATCAATTCCCACAGGGGACACCCGAATTTAGAGCCTGCACCAATCACCTAAAAGCACACAATTGACTTCGTGCCCTCAAATTGGCGTTGACTCTTAGCCACCACATAGATAGACCTTTTTCGGGACAAGGGTTCCTCAACCCGGCCGCGCAAGCAAAGCTAGGCAAAATTAAATACTGCCAATTTTGTCATGCAATAATTCTGATTTTGATTAGCCACACGAGATAAAATCTTTTGAAATCTGTTGCATCCAACAGGCTGGCAGGAAAACTAGGCACCGGTGGGTTTCAGCTTCAGTCATGGCTCTACTCTGTACCA